TCGCGTGCACGGTACTGACGACCCTGATTATCTCGCCCCGGTCCAGAGTTGTAGCCGTCTCCAACAAGAATTTGGCTTGTTGGTACTCGGGTGGAAGGGCATCGACAAAGTGTGCGAGAACAAAGGGTGTGTCAGCGTTGAGCCCTTTTTCCAGCAGTCGTGAGTACAGCAGCTCGAGCGTGTAAAGATGCTCGACAGGGTTGCTGTTGCTGTGTGCGGGGATCGTGAATTTGAACATCTTCTTCATCAGGGCTTGTTTCGAGCCCTGCGACACCGGGTTGTGTACTCTGTCGAGTTCCGCAAGAACCCTTCTTTGCGGTCTCGCATTTATTCACGATTGCCTTGTCGGCTTCTCGGACGATGGCTGTAGTCACAAAGTGGAACGCCTGGAGGCCCCTCTGAACCTCATCACTTGTGTAGCCCAAGCTATGCAGCTCCGGGCTAGGCCTGTTTGGGTCACCGACGGGTGCGTGCTTCTCGGCGTTGCCGATAAGCTGCCCGTCCAAGCCTACGGTTTTCGCGGCTTGAATAAGGGCCTTTCTCCACGAGTCGTACCCGTGGCCGCGACTCTCCCCTTCGAGACGCGGTACATTGACCGTAACACGTTGTTGGCTACTGCTGCTGTACCCATCCAAAAATGCTCCGGCCCCTCGAATTGCGGTTTGCTCACCTTGGGGGGTTAACCCCCTCGCTTCCCCGCGGTCCGGTCCTACGCCCGGGCTCATTCCGGCTGGCCCCACAGGATTCGCTCCCGATCTACTTGCCCAGCCAGTCGTCACTCTCGCTGGAACCCCAGGACTCGCTCCCGGTATGTTGTCCCAGCTGCTTTCCCGCGGGTGATTTCGCCCATCACGGGCCGTTTCCCGGGAAAATGCCCCGCCGCCCCCAGGCGGCAGAGCCTCTCTCTGGCNTTGCTTTCCCGCGGGTGATTTTGCCCATCACGGGCCGTTTCCCACGGAAATGCCCCGCCGCCCCCGGGCGGCAGAGCCTCTCTCTGGCTTGGGACGGCAGCACCGCCGCCCCTACTGGCATCGCCCGCCACGGCGTCACCAGGCCCCTTCCTCTTCAACTCCATCACTACGCTCATCAGCTGCGATAACTGGCCCTCCAGCCTCGCAATCGCCGGATCCTCGGCGTGTTGCTGTTGCGTGGCTGAGGTCTCTTCCCCCAGCCCTCCGACGGAACCGCTGTCCGACGTAGACATCACCCGATGCGGCTATCCCTCGAGGGACAAATAAACTCTAGAGTGTTTGTCGGCCGTACTCCGCGTACTTATCGGGACTTGTTTGTGTAGTGTATTAACTTCAAACGGTGAGACAACGCCCGTACCCAGGACGCTGTCGTGCTCGGAAAGGAGGAGGAGAGAGAGGGAGAGAGTAGCAGCACGGCACGGCTGCTGCACTCAACAAAGGGGGTCCCGGTGCTTCATCACCGTACCCCTACCTAAAAGGTTTTACACCATCTGCGTCACACTTGTACGTACGCGGGTAATGTATCCACCTTGTCCGTAGACCCACGAACAAACGTCAGGCCATGCCTCAGACATCATGTGCCGAAATACATGAAAGATGAACCACATGAAGCGATAATATTCCTGACATAGTCTAGTCTATTCCGTATGTTTTTGTGGGAGAATCATACCCGTGGCAGCCATGCCAAGGACATGGGATGTTCCAAAGAATGGTTGTAGTGGCACGCAGAGTTGTGCACGATTGTCAATTACCCTTGTATCCAACCAGGTTGTCTTCGATCTATCAAGGTGATTTCACCTGGGCTCTGCTCTCGTTTTTGTCTTTCGCGACTATTATAGTCTAAAGTTAACCCGTGCCTTCGCACAACCGTGCGGATCGATACGACCTTGAAGCCATAATTCGTTTCCTCGGCCAACCCTCTCATGAAAAATCTAGACTTATCATTGGTTGCTCCTGTTGCCTAACGAACAACCCCTCTATCCCGACGCACTCACTTTACCAGCGTCCGGCTCGACGGCGGACCGAATTTTTCTGGGTTCTCACCGGGTTCTTCTGGTCTTCGGATTCTTCTTCTTGGTGTGGTTGCTTATCTGCTGCCAGCAATGTCGGCCCAAACGTGATCTTGCTTGCGAGCAATCTCATGCTGGTGATCGCTCAGCGCCGTCAGCACTCAGGGGGTTTTATTCCGTTGCGGTTGCGCCCCCTCCTCCCCCTGATTACAATTGTCAGGAAACCATTTCTGTGTCCCCGCAAGCTCAGGCGCAACCGGTGTCCGTAGCAGCGGTCGCTCCTCCCCCTTACAGAGTTCGATGCGCCACCAGTATCCCGCGCCGAATTGCGTGAATGGGGTTGGTTGCACGGTCGAGGTGGAGTTGCGATTGTTTCCCCAGCGTTCCTGCGTGTTGTAGTCAATGCTTGTTGTGCGCGACCAGTGTATGTTTCGCAGCAGGGATCTCTTAGCTGAGTAGGTGATGTTTCATGTGCAGAACCCGGTGAGCTACGGGGGTGTTTGGTTGCGCCGAAATTTGCCTTGAAGAGATTCTCTTTCACGGAGTGCCCACGAGTCTCATTCTCAGACGTGCCTCGGCAGGCACATTACGGTTTGGGCCGAACGGCGCATTGCGCAACAGCTGAGGGCCATGGGAGCACGTTGCAGTTAGATTCGTGCCCATGGAGGTGGTTTCGAAACATTTTGAGCGGTGTCGTAGACAAGCCCCATCTACCACTTGACACGGCGGTGTGGCCACATTCTTGGGCATACCTCGGCAACCACATGAGTCGGACTACGTCGAACGGTTGCTTGCGTATCAGCTAGGGCCCACGGAACACTACTTTGTATTTTCGGTCCATCCGGTTACGTTGCCAACCCGCCGGCTTGCTGTTGGAAACTATTTCACCATCAAAACAGTCCGGTGAAAAGCGTCAATCGGACATCTCAGCCTGCTGCCGCCACATACATCGAAAAAACGCATCTAGATATTCTCTGTCTCCCCCCACTCTCACATGCCTGTGAACAACCAAAGCCGGCATGAAGTTTTCAAAGCTAAACGTGGCGACTTACGAACTCCGGAGAAGAGATTTTCGACAAAACAACAAGGAGGTGAGAACTTTGTAAAGTAGTTTCCCAGGTGCGCTGCTATATAATACATTTAGTACATCGTTTGCACGTTTACTGTACCCGCGTTGGTTCGATTTGGCTAGTTAATCATCCTGACGGTTCACGCCGCTCTGTGAGAACCGGGCCCAATGGAAGGGAATCTCTCTAACTACGAAAAGCCATTACGGCGGTTGCTATCCACAAGCTGCTCAATTTCAGAGCTCGCATGGTACCAAAACATTGTTATGATCTGTTACAGTATAGACTATGTTGGCACCGGAACAAACATCGTCACGTACTCTTTATACTTCTTTGTGTCACCTAGCCGAGCGTAGGCAGCCTCCATGACAAACTAGCCAATTATCAAGGTCACACGACTATCAACTGCGGAAGTTATCGCTCCGAACTCGGGGGCGATCTGTTTTCCAATACGATCAGCTCTTACACTCAAACCGAGAGTTTCTTCAAGCATGGCTATTGCTTCGAACACGGCCACCGTCCCCTCTGGCCTCGCGCCTCGAGCTTATCGTCACCGGAAGCGTCCTCTGCCCTTCCCGAGGAGGCGACCCGTGGTGCAAAGAGCCCCCCCCCCCCCCCCCCCCGCCTG